TCTGGGAACTTAGATTTTGGGAGGGTCCCCACCATTCCCAGGACTCAGGAGACTGGCTCACTGTGCCTAAACTGTTTGTGCAAACAATGTGGTTTAAGCTGAACCCTGATTCCCTTCTTGAAGTCTGGAATTTTGGTATGTGCCAAGCAGAGGTTGCCTATGTGACCAGCCTCCAATAAAAACCCTGGGAAGAGTCTCTGTTGAGCTTCTCTGCCAGATAGCATTTCATGCCTGTTGTCACAACCTGTTGCTTAGGGGAATCTAGCACGGGGAGAGGACTTACAGAAGCTTACACCTGGTCTCCTCCAGACTTGACTTCATCGCTGCTTTGTTATATATAATATGTTGTTATGTATGTTTATATAACAACATACTTTTTAATGTGTTGTTAAGGATTTTGCAGCTATACTAATAAGGGATATTTTCATTATTTATAATAATTTTGTCTGGTTTAGGTATCAGGGTAATACCACCCTCATAAAATGAGTTGGAAAGTGTTACCTTTCCTTCTATTTCCCGAAAGTTTGTGTAGGGTGGGTATTATTTCTTTCTTAAATATTTTCTAGAATTCTCCAGTGAAGTCATCTGGGCCTGCTGTCACTTTTTTCAGAAGGAAAATGACAAATTTAATTTCTTTAATAGCTATAAGGCTGTTGAGAGTTTTTATTTCTTAATTTCAGTAATTTATGACTTCCGAAGAATTTGTCCATTTCATTTAAGTAGTCAAATTTATTGCCATTAAGTGTTCACAATATTACCTTATAATCTTTTTAATATCTGTAGAATTATGGCGATGTCCTTACATTCTTGACATTGGTAATTTGGGCATTCTCTTTTTTCTTGATCATTCTGGCTAGAGGTTTGTCAATTTTATTAACCTTTTCAAAGCACCAACTATTAGTTTCATTTATTTTTCTCCATTGGTCTAATATTTTCTATTTCATTAGTTTCCACTCGTGTTTATGTACGCTTTAATTTGCTCTTCTTTTTCTAGTCTCTTAAGGCAGAAACTTATATCATTCATTTTAGACACTTCTTTTTTCTTCATATATGTATTTAATGCTGCAAACTTCCCTCTAAGCACTGCTTTAACAGCATGTGACAAATTTTGATATATTGTCTTTTCATTTTCATTCAGTTCAAAGTATTTTCTAATTTTCACTGTGATTTCTTCTTTGACTCATGGGTTATTAAAAAAATGTGTTGTTTATTTTCCTAAGATTTTAGAGGTGTTTTTTTTTTCCTTTGTTGTTGTTTATGTGCTTAATTTTAGCAAAGTTCCAGGTGGGGGGGACTGGTAATAGTTGGTGCTGTCCTTTGGTTGAAAGTTTCTCATACACTTAAACTATTTAATTTACTAAGCCAACAATTTTTTTTTTCATGGCTCCTGCAAAGGTAGATTTCAGACACATGTTCTGAATTAATAAAATCTTAATATTGATATTTAATATTGTATATTTAATATTGTTTATTTTAAGCAAAAACATTAATGATTTTATATTACCACTAATTTTAAGTTTAACACTTGGGTCCTTGTCCTTTTTTAAACTTTTGGATTTTAATTCAGATTTAGATCACTTAATTTGAAATGAAAAAAGTAAGATCTCTGAATAAGCAAAGCACACAGGTTTTTAGGGGCTATGATACGATAATGGTAGATTCAGGTCTTTATACATTTGTCAAAACCCATAGAACATACAATGTCAAGGGTGAACCTTGGACTATGGAATGTAAACTATGGACTTTGAGTGATGATGGTGTGTCAATGTAGGTTCATTGATTATAACAAAGGTACCACTCTGGGGTTGTGGGGGGAGCTGAGCCTATGCGGGGACAGGGTATATGGGAACTCTGCAGTTTCTGCTCATTTTGCTGTGAACCTTAAACTGAAGATAAAAATAAAGTCTATTTTTAAACAGTGATAATAATAAGATCTGGTGACATTCCAGATGCTAGATTATTGTTTAATAATATTTTCACATTTGTTGCTGCTACTAAATTACTTTAGTTTCTCTAATCCCATATGGTTTCAAGTGTGACTTTCTTAAATCCCCCTTAAACATTCATAAGCTTTACCAGGTGTCAGTAAAATTACTCAGATTAAGACTATATTATTTTAGAGATGAAGCATTTTGAGGACTCCATCAAGTCCCTAGGGTATGAGGCAGCTATTAAATTAATAGGATCTTAAAGAAAACGTACCCCTTTCCTTGCCACTCACTGCCTTCCCTGCTGAGAGGATAAGATTAGCATTACATGTGTCGGACAGCTGCCTCTCCTAGGAGTTCAGCAGAGCTTGGTAAATAATATCAGAACTGAGTCACTTATGGTTGAATGACACAAAATGAAAAAGAAATGCCTTTCAGGCACTTCCTGTTGCCCAATATGGGCTATGAAATAGACACTTGAAGTAAGTGCCCCACCTGTGACCCAAATGAACCTTTTCCTGCAAGGATGTCGATCTGATTTCCTGATCAAAAAAGGAATCCAGCAACACTGTAAATGATCTGTCTGGGCCTGGAGACAGGCCTCCTTTCTCCGCTCAGACGCCTTGTCCACGTCAGTCCACCCGAACTCATTCCTTGACTAGCCCAGGGTGTTTTGTTTTGTTTTGAAGAACTCCAGCTAAAGTGGCTCTTTCATCGCAGCGCAAGGCCGTCATCACCTCACCGTCCTACAGGTGGCTAGGGCTTACTGCATTGAGAAGCAGAAACAAGATAACTGAAAACAGAGAATTCATATTTAGAACTTGGAAAAATAGGGCTGGTATTTTCATAGGGTTGGTTGTTTTTCATTAATATAACTATCAATTCTACTGTGATTTATAAGCCCTGAATAGTGATGTATTAAATAATTTACATCACTATTCCCTTAAAGGTGAAATTGGTATCTAACTTCCTCTTTCTTCAAGAAGTAGGAAGAACGAGGTAAAAAATGACAGCTTTCAGATAACTGAATTCCGCTTTAAAAAGCCATAAAGAAAGGGAGTCATTTTCCAAGGAAGTGACAACAGATTCATTAACTGAATGACTCACATGCTGCTTTTAAATTGCAAAACTGATTGTGAATCACTGGAAAAAAAAAAAAAACCTTAAAAATCTCACAAAATCTGAGTTCTCCTTTAGGAATCCACAAATGTAGCCTCTGCTGCTCATTAGAATATCCTTTTAACTGACCCGAAATAACCTTTTGGTGAGCTAAACTAGGTCAACTTCTATAAAACACTACTTAGAAATATTTGTTTAAAAAAGGCTGATTTGTTCTAGATTTCTTTTGAATAAACCATGAGTCTGGATGATATACATATGTTTGGAAAAATGTGTTAGAAACAGGTATTGCATAAAACTACAGAAATTTCTTGTCGCAGAAATGTGTATTTCTGAGTCCTTCTTTAGAAGGTAGCTCCCTTGAAATAAGGCTCTGGTTGAAGACCATCATGACATAGGAGGAAGTGTCCCTGACAACATGGCTACCAATTAAGAGGGGAAACGTTCAAAGCAGAAATCTACAAAGTGGTTCATTATAAAAAAAACATTAACAGTAGGTGGACTTCTCTAGACATCAGAGTCTATATTCTGCTGCTTCAGAACCAGAAACTCATGGATGACCCAAGAATGTTCCCAAGAAATGATGAATAATGTCTGCTCCAAGATTTTAATCATTAACTTCACAACAAGCTTAGGCTTCCGTGCGGTCTCAGGAACGAGGGAAGCAGGGAGCAGGACAGTGGTGGCACAGACAATAAATACATTTTTTGAACTGACTGGAGAGCTTGGAGATGGCGAAGGTAGATACAAAGTAATGTGTGAGTGTTGGGAGTTTCTTTTCATGTTTGCATAAGGGCAGTTTTACTATAGGAAATTGAAATATAAAAAAAGCAATAAAAATTTATCTAGACCATGTAAACATTACGGGTTTTACAATTTAGCCTGAAAATCTCCTCGGATTGCTTGCTGGTTTCCATGTGATAGGCTCGTTGAACATTAAACCCCAATACGGGAACGGTGGGTGAGAAGGGGATACTGAATCTGTCAAGAGGATTTTCAATTCCCTTCACTTCAGGGTAGAGGTGAATTTTTTTCCCATAGGCCTAGAGAGGAGTCTGGTTTAAGTATATTTTCTCACGGGGCGGCTTTAGTAGAGTGAGAAAACAGAGAACTTACAACCTGAAGACCTGGATTTCAATCCCTATTTGGCCATTGGCTAGGATGAGGTTGGGGAAGTTATTCCACCTCTCTGGGTCTCAGTTTCCTCATCTCTAAAATGGGGGTAATCAAATGACCGCACGAAGTTGTGGTCCTGATTAAGGTAAGATATGGAAAAGCGCAACGTGGGCACCCTACGGATGTTTAGCCAGTGTGAATCTTAAAGCTGATGAGAATCATTCACTTATGTTTGTAGTATTTCATGGTGAAAAGTATTTTAAAATTCACACTCAGAAAAATAATACTTTCGGTATCATTACCAAGGATACCAGTTTCGAAAACTGTATTTGTGAAGACTGCATCGCACGTCAACAAATAATTCTAAATATTTGCAGGTCCTTCCAATTGCCTTAGAAACTATTATATGTAAGTAAATAAATGCATGATATGCCAAGAGCTGGAGCTGTGTCTCCTTGGTCCTGAAAACAATCTTCTAACCATTGTAAATGCTCGAAAAAACTTGTTGAGACGAGTGTTTACCGCAGGGGACTTGAAGGGACTCCAGTGTTTTTCTGCCTCCTTTGCTCCGGCTCTCTCTCCTGTGGAAAATGCCACTTCTGCTGACCACAGGATGCGCGCTGGCCTCCCCTGGTTTATAGCCTTTTCCTGCGATCTGCTTCCCTCAGAGCTCAAGGCAGGATGTTACGTTTGTATTTGTTTTACTTCTCCCCTCTGGCCAGGCATTTAGATCGACTGAGATTAAGAAGCCAAAATTTCCACTATGCTTTTTGATCATTGGTTGAAGTTCAATGTGTCAAACATACTCACGACCCGTGGACCCTTTGCCCTTCTCACCTCCCGCGATGATGTGGAGATCGCCCAGTCTCGGCGAGAAACACAGAACCAGCTCATGTTTGGGGAGCTGATGTGTCTCCCTCTGAGTCCTTGGTGGCTCTCATGGGAGTGTGGCATCCAAACGTTCGGATTGCTTTCAAAAAAAAAAAAATCATCATTAAATCTCTTGCCAAGATTTAAAAAGTGAAGTGGATGAAGTGACTTCATACATGAAGGAAAGAGGCAGTTTCATTGGGTGGAGTTAATGAGAGCAGGGGTGAGTCATGGAGTCCTGAGTTGTGAGTATAATTACAGCTCATTTAGCAATAAGCACGTATGTACATGACCTTTATTCTCCACAGAGCTGCACAAACGTCCACTTCCATGCTGACACAGACAACCAGGGGGAGTAAATTCAAACAGCAGGAGCCAGACATCTGATCACGTTCGTTCGTAGAGATTAGATGGCTCTCAGTGGAAACACTGCACTTCCTTCCATTAACCGCACACCTTGAGAGAGTTCAAGGAGCCCAACTGCAGGGAGGCTGGTCTCCACCACCCAGGTAGTTGGAGGTGATAATCACTCCCCAGGTGGAGATTACATTTACGAACTTCCCTTTTCCGGGTCACTGTTTTCCAGCTTCCTGCCGATTCAACCCTTTAGGAAAATCTTTGCCTCCCCCTTCCCTTCGATAATCCCTGATATTTGGGTTGCCTTTAATAATTCTTGGTCCCCAAGTCATGCTCCTTTTTCTTCTTTAACACCCGTCCTTGCCTCTCTCTCTGGGACACCGTCTTCCCATTGATCCTCGCTCCTCGCCTCATTGTCCTATTGCGATAGCCAACTCATTTCTCCTCTCAGTTCACCCTACGCATCACTGCCAGATCGGTGTCCCTAAAATCCCCTTGGAAAATGTCACAGCTCACACAGAGATCTTTAGTACCTGCCTGCAAACTCCCCGGCCTGACTTTCAAATATAAAATCTGGCCCAAATCTACTTCACCGGGTTTTTCTCCGGGAACTCCCTTGCTCCAGTCTAACTAACGGCTACCCCACCCCCCATAACACACCCAGCAGGTTCCAGGCCCCGTAACTCCTCGTCTGTGTCCATGAAGTCCTTCCTGGCAGGTGCACCCCCTCTGAAGAGCCTTACCCAACCATCACTTGGCTTATTTCCCCCAACTCGAATGCAAGCCAGCTCCCGCACAAAGCATTCCAGAGCCAGGACCCGCCCCACCCCCATCGTCCCTCTGCAGCACCTTCACGACTGCTCATGACCCATTATCACAAAGTGCCTGACTTTATCATTTCCCTATTAGATTATAAGCTCATTGGCACTAGGGACGGTGTCTCATTCATCTTTTTATGCCCCGCAGCACCCAACACAGTATATTATCAAAAAATTTTTTTTGAAATAAATAACAGAAGCCGTGAGGGGTCCTATCTGAGCAACAGACACCTTTGACCCCAACTGATGGAGGTTCTTGAGTGTCCTCCCCTTGTCCACATTATACCAGTCACGCTGTGTCTTTAAGAAAGATCCACGTGGGTTCACCACGTTTTTCACCAAACGTTGTGACAAGTCACATGAGATGTCACAGTTTTGGGGTATAAATGAGTGTGTAATAGGAAAATAAGTAGCACACATTTCAATATGTCTGCCATTATCCGTGGCATCTGCATCCGAGGTCTTGCCAGCCTTTTGAAATGCTACTTAAAAATTCAAGATGTTCAAGTCAGATATAACACCTGAGGATTAATAAAGTAACAAGGTGACACCTGTGCTAAGTGCCAGCATCTGGGTCCAGGAGGGGGTTTGCTTTAATACACACGCTCTCTTTTCCCCCATCCTACCAAAGTATCCGTCCCTTTATTAAGTAACACTGCAGGGCCAGCCGAGTGGCTCAGTTAGTTAAGAGTTAGCTTAAGAGCACGAGCTCTGAGCAACAGGGCCACCGGTTCAATTCCGACATGGGCCAGTGACGTGCCGGAGATGAGCTGTCACTGAGCTGCCAACAGGTGGCAGGATGTCTCAGCTGGTTTAACAAGGCTGCCTGTTCGATGGAGGCCTATGCCTGCCTGCAACTAAAACTGAACTTGGAACCTTAAGCTGAGCTGCCACCCGGATGGCTCAGTGGATAGAGCGTGCGCTCTTAACAACAAGGCTGCTGGTTCAACTCCCGCATGGGATGGTGGCTACGCCCACCCGCAACTAAGATTGAACACAGCACCTTGAGCTTAGAGGCCACAAGCTGCTGACGGAAAGCCAGATGGCGACTGGCGCCCGACACAATGAAGACTGAAGAACAACAACTTGGCTGGTTCCCTTCCCCAATTCCCCAACACTGTTCCCCTCCCCCAATTCCCCAATAAAAATCTCAGAAAAAAAAAGTAACACTGCAAAATCCCTTTGCACAAACATCAAAATGTCCTGAAATTAAACGTCATTCTCCTCACCACTCATCTCTTTCCAACTTCACACCAGGCTCCTCCTGCTCGCCCACAGTTTTTCCTGTCGGTGAACTTTTCGGCACTGAAGTGCCATGTGTTCCTTGTAATGGTGACACTAATTGGTCCCCACCACAGTTTTATGTCATGCCTATTTCAAAGACACTTTATGGCCATCAGATTATTCGCATGTCATTAATTGACATAATAATTCCATAATGTAATTAACAATTATGCTCCCTGCTGAGGAAACTAACGCTCAGAAAAATGAAGTAACCAGTCCTAGGATATTACAAGGTCAAAATCAAGACCAAAACAGAAAACAAGGTCTTCTATAGAATTCAGGGCTCTCCTTGAAAGGTCATGCCTCCTTATCTTTGCTTGTGGTGTGCTCTCAAAGATACCAGGAGAAACCAGCAGCAAGGCATTAAAAAAAAAAATGCCATCTTCTAAAAATAATATCACACATTTAATCCCCAACTGCTCACTTATCTGAACAATTGCTGTGCATTCTTAGTTTTCTTTGTCTGGGGAGGGCTGACCTCTCTCTAAGCATTGGGAACGGCCTTCCCTTCCTTGAAAGAATTTCTGTGCTGCGGTCTCTGGTTCCGCAGAGCTTCTCAACTTCTGCCTCCGCTTTGGGTGCTTAGACACAATTCAGATCACATCCCTCCTCACCTCAAAACCCTCCGGTGGCTTCCGCCATGACGTGGAGTAACAGCCGAAGCCCTTCCTGCTGTGGCCCCTGTTCCCTCCCTACCCTCATCCCCAGCCACTCTCCTCTCCTTCACTCCACTCCAGCTGTGCTCTCCGTTCCTCAGACACACTCCTGTCTCAGGGCCTCTGCACACGCCCTTTGCTGGAATGTTCTTCCCCAGATGTCCACATGACTCGTTGAGGTCTTCACTCTAATGTCACCTCCGCAGTGACTACTCGAGCTACAAATCCAACCACCCCCACCTGCCTCCACCCCGACATGGTCAAGATCCTGTCCTTGCCCGGTTTTCTCCCTCACACGTGACACTCTCCAATATACTGGACTTATTTATCTTGTTTGTTGTCACTACCCGGTTCAGCAGCCCAGTGAGCGCAGTGGAGTAGAAACGCACATCTTTGTGTGGGGGTGGGGGTGGGGGGGGTACTATGTGAAGCTGTGACTAATGCTATCATAAGCTGTGCTCGATCACTTTTTATACTACTACTAAGAACTATTACAAAGTGACTATTACAAAGTCACTTGTGGTTTGAATTACTTTAAAACTCAGAATACTATTAATTTCCGGTGAGTAATTCCAAGAAACATGGTACTTGGGGAAGAATTAAGATGTTTTCAGAACAGCACAAAAGGCTGCCTGCTGTGTGGATCCCGGGGAAAAGAGTCCTGCTGAAGTCATTTTCCTGTTTGTAAACCACAGCAGACAGTTTAGTGGATATTTTGAGATTTACTGTACTCTGATTCATTTAAAATGAGATTCCACATGATAATATTCTTCTTTAAAGTGTTTTGGAAGAAATTCATGTCCATTCCAGCTCATATTTTTTATTTTTTTAAAAAAAAGCATTTGTCATTTCCAAGTTCAGAAGTTTCTGTATTATACCAAAAAGTTTCTTACAACTTACTCAATAAGGTTTTAAAAAGAGCAAGAGAGAGATTTACAATAAACACACCTATTTAACTAAATTCAGCATTTGTTGGGTGCCTTCTGTGGTGTGAGCCTGGGCAAATGATTTAGCCACGCTTTGCCTTATTTTGTGCCTGTCTCCTTATACAGATGCCGACTATGTGCCCCATTCCATCCCCATGAAATCAAGGGGGGTGTGGAGAGCGGGCAGCTGCGTGGTGCTCAGTTGCTGGTTCAGCACCAACTCTGCCCCCACCTGCATGGCAGCAGCTGCCTCCAGAGGCCAGAGCTGGCACCAAATCAACTGGACTCGCTTCCTGACGCCATCATCCATATGGCCCCAAAGCTCTGGCCCACATCAGCTTCCACTGAGTTCTCACTCTTGCCAGCTGATCCCTCTCCACAACCCAAGCCCACAAGACAACCACAAAAACCACGGTTGTTACTCTGTGCATGGTTTTACTATCAGAACTACTGGGGGGTTTTTTTCCCCAATTATAGTTGACATTCAATATTATTTTAGATTAGTTTCAGGTGTGCAGCATAGTCGTTAGACATTTATATAACTTATGAAGTGATCTCCCCTGATAAGTCTAGTACCCACCTGGCACTATCCAGAGTTATTACCATGTTATTGACTATGTCCCTATACTTTACATCCCCATGACTATTTTGTAACTACCAATTAGTATTTCTTAATCCCTTCCCCTTTTTACCCAGCTCTTAACCCCCCTCCCATCTGACTGACAGCTATCAGTTTGTTCTCTGTATACATAAGTCTGTTTCTGTTTTGTTTGTTCATTTATTTTGTTCTTGAGATTCCACATATAAGTGAGATCATAGGTATTTGTCTTTCTCTGTCTGACTTACTCGACTCAGTGCAGTACCCTCCAGGTCCATCCATGTTGTTGCAGGTGGCAAGATTTCATTCTTTTTTAGAGCCGAGTAATATTCCATTATATATACAAGTATGTACCACATCTTTTTATCCAATTGTCTACTGATAGGCACTTAAGTTGCTTCCATATCTTGGCTATTGTAAATAGCACTGCAATGAACATAGGGGTGCATGGATCTTTTTGA